AAAAAAAAAAAAAAAAAAAACGCAAAACTCTTCATGTTTTTGTCGATTGCATATGAAATAGAAAGTATGAGTTTCACTTTGCTCTTTTAATGAAGGTTTTCATGGAATACGTGCAATTATATAGCTTAAGATTGAGCCTATATATCAAAGCATCTCTGTATTTAGAAAAAGAAACGAATTGAACACCTATTATGTCAAAAGAATAGATAGTGCTACTGGTAGAAGATTGATAATGAATTATTTGGAACATTCAGCCAAAGCATTTGTTGCTGCAATATTGCTTATGTTGAAAGCAAAGGGCCCAAGTGATTTTTTTATCCCAAAGGATAGAATGTCCATTACTGCCCATTAATTAAACTATATTAAAAATATTGACCACATTTGAGTTATAGTACCTTATTCTATATATCTGGAATTGCGCTTTGGAAATTTTGTGAGATTGGATATTTAAAAGCATTTCCAACATCTTGAAGGCTAGGCGATCCGAGCGCGGCTGAGATTTGAGAGAAGATTTTTGTTACTGAATTTTTATATTGAATAAATTAATACTAGTATTTGGATGGAAAAAGATTGTACACATGCTTTGTGCACGCAACGAGTTGAATGAAGCTTAAAGCTTTGAATATAAAAATGAATATAGTAAAGGAAGTGGTCCATAGAGGGTACATGAGCAAGCTTGGTTTAAATTTTACATTTCCAAAAATGAACTCGGATGAGTTCCGTATGGGAAAATAATTAAGGAAAAGGGTCCGAATTATCAAGGGTCTGGAAAGATAAAAGGTATCCAGAGAAGAAAAAAACCAGCCAATCATTATAAGCGATTCTGTACACGAGTACAAATCGCCTCTCTTTATTCAGACCATAGCTGTATTATAATGAGTATTTTTTTATTGTCTTTTAAAAATGGTAATCTAGTGATATCTATACTTATCATTTCTTTTTGGAAGGTCAAAGCTATTCCCTTTTTTGGTTCCTTCTATTAGCTTTCTTTTACACTTGGGATATTTTTTATTATATTTAGAAAAGGCGTGCATCCATATCATAAATCGTACTCCTTAACCCTTAAATCACATATTCTTTTTTTGCTAATAAAAAAGTTAACAGATCACAGAATATGAACAATAATAAAAGAAGACGTAAAAGTACAGAATTTTTTTTGTTTTTTCCAAGTAAATATCAATATTTTAGTTTAGCAAAAAAAAAAAAAAAAAAAGGAAATAATGCGGGGCTTTTATTAATCTTGCTATTCTCGTTTGGAAGTCATTCCATTTTACTTTTATGGGTTAGAATGCGCTCATGAAACACTTCAGGTGGTTTCCACCTTTAAGACTCTCATCGATAGTCGCACAAACAAAAGCCGACTTTTTATTTCTTTATTTTGATTTTTGTTAGATTAGTTTAAGCGACTTAAACCAGCCTTTGGATTCACATGAGCAAACAAAAGAAAAAAGAACGCATGATAATGACTGTTATGGCATGATATGAGGGAATCGGTTAGATAATCTACGATAATAATAGCTTGATCCTATGCCCATGAATGAAAAATGACCTCAGATGAGCAACAAAAAAATAATTGTGGGTTTGACTATAACAAAAAAAGAAGGATCGCTTTTTCTATTGCGTATGCTTGAATAATGACCATGAACAACTTGACTTACTCTTCATTGAGCGTCTAAAGCTTGGTGAAATAATATAAGGCCATCATGTAAAATAAGCAATAATTTGATTATTTAGGCAACCACTTCAAAGTATATCTGCAAAGAACGAAATCAAATAAAAATGATCACAGCAAATAAATATGAAACAATTTACTTTAAGTCAAAATGACAACAAAAATCAATAAAAGGAACACCAGCAAATGGGTTTTATAAAAAAAAAATATGTACAATTTTATTTACAAAGACCCACGAGGACCACGACGACAGAAAGACTCGCGGTGGATTGCCCTTCCAATAATGTGCTCATTGGGAAAGGACGCGAAGTAACCAACTGAGTCCCTAGGGGACAGTTGGCCACCTTCGGCAATTATAAATGTTGCCGAAGGGAAACTTGGTAGTGAGTGGGGAGAAGAGACAAAGGAAGGACAGACAGGAGTAAAAGCAGACCTGCGAAATACAGGCAAAGGAACAGGAAAAGAAGCAGAAAAGCCAACAGAAACGACAGAGGAAGACGAAGCGCAAGAAACCGAAGGCGACAGTGAAGCAGGCGCACCTGTAACACGGGAAAAGCTAGCAGAAACATCCCTTCGATAAGGATGGCTTCTCTTTGAAACCCCCGAAGGGCGAGTACGAGAAAATCTACCACGGGCACGAGAAGCACGGACAGGAAGAGAAGCACAAGATGTAGCAGCATCAACAGAAACAGAACAATCGCCTGAGGTAACCGCAGAGCCAGCAGGACAGATAGGGGGGATGGATGCGGTACCTGAGGCAGGAATGGGGGCAACAGGGTGAGAAGATGCACGAGAGGAACGACAGGCATGACCACGACCACGAGAAGGGCGGGAAACAGAAGCAACGGAAGCAGATGGTGCAGAAGCACCCAAAGAAGCGACAGAGCCCACCTTCAAATCCCCAAAAGAGGGATGACTTGGCGCCAGGCAGTCAGAAGGGAAAGAGTTCCCAAACAAAGGAACAAGACCGTGCCTCAAAGGCCAAGCGTTCTTCACGCAAAGGGCGCGAGCACTCTCCATAGGCAACCTAAATAATATTAGTGAATATAAAAATTTTCTACCTTTTTTTTTAATAATCATACCAAGTGCCTTGGATTGCCAAGCGGCCGCCTCTGATCTTCTTCATGGGAAGGCCGGGATTTGCACCCACAACCTTCAGCACATCAGCCTTACTCTTTCCAAGGGCCTTCCAAATGCCCGTGATGAGAACCCAATCGTTCTCTCGGTCCCAAAGGATGAGTTGTCCGCCAGCCATCACCTCGAAGGCTATAATAAAGGAGAAATTAGTTAAAAAATTCAAAAGCATTTAACCCATAATTTATACCTGGGATAACCCCGCGCACATCTTGGGAGGTGGCGTAATCATTTAACTTTACGTCAGAGCAAGAGAAGAAAGAAGCGTTCATAATGTATAAAAAAATAAATAAAGTTGATGGATGAAGAAAAGGGAAGAAAAAAGTTTGAAAAGTAGCTTTTTATATATTCTTTGGCTATCAAACTTGGAGGAAGGGCCTGATTCAAAAAAGTGTAGACAAAAAAATATTTTCTTAGTACGAGATCGATAAAAGGTTCCCATGGGAACTCTAATTTGTCAAAAAGCAAAGATAAGAAAATAATTAAATAAATAAAAGTAGCTACATAATTAGATACTGAATCCCCTTTCTTCTCCTTGTACTACTTTTTTCCCGCTTCCCGTTATGGAATAATAAATACTAAGGTGACCCTGAGCTATTTTCAGTTCCAGCTACGCTTTACTTTGGAGAAATTACTGAATCAAGTAAATTAGTAGTCTGAGGCTAAATAATTACACCGTCTAGACACTTTATGTCGATCTCTCTATCAAATGCGGATATCAAAAGAGCAAGTAACTATGACAGCCATTTGGCTTTTGTTTTACTGTTTTTATCGATAATATATTTTACAAGAGATCTATAGTCAGCCATCAATTTCTTGGTACCTTCTAACATGTTCCCTGTGTTTTCATTTCCAAGTCCATTTGATCCCTCTATGAAAGCATTTCATAATCGCTGGACTTCCCTTGGCCATCAACGAATTTTTTACTTTGTCTCTCTTCTGTTATCCCAAAGACTATTTGAATGATCAAAATTTCACACCCAGGAAGTATCAAAAGACATATTATTCTTTCAAAGGACTTCAGAGCAACAGAATGTCTCCATTATCTTTCTAAAATGTTTGGTTGTTCCACAGTGGCCTTGACAGATCAATTAGATGGATTTCCGTATCTTCATCAAGAAAACTAAATAAGCTGACAAAGAAAGACAAAGGCTAATTCTTGTTTTGATCGCTTATGAATCTTTGTACTCTTTGAGCTCATTGAATCTTTGAACTCTTCTTGATCACTGATCTCTTCCATTCCCAACTTACAAGCAGTATCCTTTGCTGCCAGTATTCATTACTGACATCTTTATTTGTTCAGTTTTCATGTTATTGGCCGTTTGTAAATTCTTCATGGGTGGATGGATGAATGACAAACTTCTTACCATCATTTTCCTAGCCAAATTTCAAAGGAGCTTCTTGAAATATATGCAGTGAGCAAATAAACGAATGTGGTTACAGCTGGCTTGAATGTTGGTTAGCTGTTAATTCTGCTTCTTGGAATAATCTCTTTTTGAGTCTTTGGTTCAGAACCTCTTTCATATGGATTTCATTTTCTTTGCGGTGCCTGTTGAACACTTCTATAAATTTTGATCTGACTCTAGGAAGCCTCCAATACGCGTAAATCTTGCCAAGCTATAGCCTTACATTTACCAGAAGCCAAGTAGAAGCCCCATCAAATGTAGTTGTGATGCTCAATGATCTGTTATTTACTTACTGGGTATGTTTTGAACAAAGAAGAAAAGAAAAAGCAGCGATCAGATTCGAACCCATTTATTAATATGAAATTAGACATTGACAACATTAATAATTTAAAGTGCGACATGAGACAAGTTTGATACACAGATAAGAGTAGATTGGCTGTAATAAAGGATACATACGACAACAGATGACGTATACAAGCATTCTGTAAAATCACTAGACAAATATACTCGCTTTAAAATGATTTTTGAAGAAGAATAGAATTCATTTGAATTTCAATGCGTGTCAAGCCTTTTTCTTGTTGATTGTAAAATAATAAGGGTCTTTGAAGGTTGACGTGTTTGACGAGATAACCTCTATAATAACCCGAGTATCTATTGTATGTTGGGTGATAGTTACATCAAACTTCACTATAAAATTCTCGATCCAATTGCATTTAATAATATTCATCTCCCTTAATAAGCAATCTTCTTTTCTAACCATCGAACTCTATAATCTTAAATTTTATTCAGCAGAGATGTCTTTTGATGCATTGTATACCTGTTATATAAAGAAGTTACTATGTTTTTTAATCATACATCTTAGATTGCTCATATAATTTCCTCTTACACATATAACATAGCAACATATTACTGATCCCTTTTTTTCATAGAGCATCATTAGCGTCGATTTAATGGTTCAGTAAGTAATATAATTTACAAAGGAAAAAAGAAGAATCATACCTTGCCTATATGCTTACAGGAGTTCTTTTAATTGGAAAAAATAATCTAAGAGATCCTCTATCCTCAGTTTTATCTAAAAGGAGTAAATAACCACTTTGACATAGCACGCACACTGTTTCTTTTTTTAGAGCCTTTAACAGGCTTCCGTTTTTGGATTCTTCCATCGACTATCTGTTATGCCATTTTGGGTATCAGACATAGTCTACCAAACTTGGTCATCGTTTCACTTGTACCATCTGAACAATTTGTTGTTGTACCTGTTTAATTATGCAGTCAAAAGTCATTTAAGGATAACAGCAAGCGATAGGATGATTTCTTATATGAATGTGAAAATAGAAGCGGTTCGAACTTCTAGTGTTTTTGTAATAAAACTTGAAGTTTCTTATGATAAAGAAAGGCGTCTTTATTTAGTAACGACAAACGATTATTTATATCTTTCCATTTTATGTGTAACAATGAATGATTTAAAGAACAATAGAGCTGAATTCAAACTAAATTTCATGCGACGATACTCGAAGTATTATTACTATTTAGACCAGAGGACAAATACAAGGAAGAATAATATATATGCTTTAATCATCTTGTTGGTTTATTGAGTGGAACTTAAAATAATATACAATAAAAGTCTAAATTCTTTCTATAATATGTCCCTTGATTATCGATAGCGGAGGTCATTACCAAAGGAAAGGAGGGCGCGAAGGAGTTATTATTCTTCCTTGTGTTTGTCCTCTGGTCTAAATAGTAATTCAAGGTCAAAGGTATTCTCTCAAACACAAGGAAGAATAATACATATGTTTCTCCAGAGATGTATCTAATGAAAATTTGGTTCGTTATCGTAAAACATATCCTGGTCTTCTATTGGATCCTGTAAGACAGTGTTTGTAAAGCCTATCAATGATAAGTGTTCTCGTCGATAGTGGTTGTGAAAAATATCTAAGAAGGATCAGTTGCCGAGTGTGACAATATCTTCAATAGGGATACCAGTATGGAGGGCTAAGGAAGAAACAAGTGATCGAAGATTTACCCGAGGTTCGTTTGTCGACATCTGTATAAATCGTCGTATCTAAGGGCTAACGGTACTTTTCAAAAACGTACATTTACAGGCTCCCAAAAACTCTCTTTCTTTGGACAGCAGAAAAATCAATAAACACGCCAAGGAAAGATGTTCTGAATAGACCAAGTGCTGAAAGAACGTTTAAAAATACCTTTTAAAAATGTTCATTCAAGGTCGCCGATTACGGCTTGGAAATGACAGGGTGATTTTTCGAACGTAGAACGAAGATAACGCCGGAGCAGAGATAGTAGTTGCCCTTAGCCGCCTTGCAAGTGGTACCAGTGACTACGAGTTGAGAGTTAAATGGCAGTTCACATTCCTTCATCTCAGGAGAACAGGTATAATATAGGAATATTGTTTGACAGCTTCTGCAGATGAAATGAAGCCTTCATACTCATTTTCACTCTTTTTCGAACTCGTCAAGGAAACTGGAACGAGAAGACATACCTACCCTATGCTTTGCATTTTGTCAGCATAAGTTAATGCGGCCAATGTGATTATTTATCCCATTAGACACGATAAAAGAAAGTAGAATATATACTCTACTGTATGATATAGAGTACTATAATGATTTATATCAAACACGTCAAGGTCCGTATCGGACGATGATCAGCAGGTAAAAGAAAGAAAATACGACTAGAAAAAAAAAAAGAAAGAGGGGAAGAGATTATGAAGACAGTTTGTTTTATCAATTGAATCTCGGCAAACAAGGTTAGGGCATATTATCCTTTTGTTACTTTGTTTTATCCACGTTGATTTAAAGATGATAAAAAGAAATCCACTTCACCTGCTTACACCTCATAAAAGAGGAATTCGGTATCATAGAGCACTTTATTCGTACATCATAATCCCTGCCAATGCAAACATTTCTTCACTTGATATTACTCTTCCATACTTATCAATTGAGTTTTCCTTCATTGAAATATAACTATCCAGATTCATCTTTTGTTGGTCTTTAGAGACAATAGGGTCATACTTCGGTGGTTCAGAATGATACGCTCCATCAGCTCCTATCTATTGTTATTTTGTCATGATAAGAATATCATCTGTATATGTAATGACTTACCATATGTGATCTGTCAGAAGCAAAATAGTATAGATAGCTCCTCGCAGGTATTAAACGAAAGTATCTTTTTTATATTTAAGTTGGCTTATCTACAATATAATCAATCATTTACCTTTCATACTTGCTTTGTAGAATGAACTGCGGTTTAAATGATTCCATCATATACTTTTCAGCTTTGCATGGAAAGGGGAGTTTGGTATCAAAATCATATACAAATAAGCCATTATCACCGCTAAACAGCAGAATAACATGATAATCCTACACTCTGGTTAAATACATGTCTATAATCTCAATCTCTATTTTTTATTACCCAAACAATCGGATAATCATCCACACATGATTTCTGTGCCCACATTGGTATCTACAATACAAAGGTTTGTATTTTTTTTTTTCTTTCTTTTTATATACACAACCAAGCTCACCTTTCGTTCATCATTGCTTATGAATACAACAGTGAATTTATCCAACATCTCTGGATACTTTTCATCTATTTCTTTGCAGAGCATATAAATATTTTCCTCACAGTAGCATTTGGTATATACACACTTGTCCTTTTCGATCATCATGTGGGGAAACAAAAGAAAAGGATATCAAAAAAGGAAACAAACTTTGAGACTAAACAAACAGTCACAGTATTCGAATTTTGCCTGTTCTAAAAAAGTCTTGCCTTTTTCCATAAAACTTTTTTCTCATTGATTACTTCAACATGGTACGGATCAAACGATATAATATATCAGCAATGACTCATTATATTATAGATTCGTAGAAATACCCGTCTTCGTAGAGAATATCTCTATAAAAAGTCCTTGGAACAAAAGGAACAGTCAACATTTGACCGTAAACAAAAGATCAAGGAAGCGATCGAACGTAAGAAGAAAACAGAATAGGCCCTTGATCAAGGTACTAACTATTATACATATAGAGGGAAAGACACTTCCGACTGAATTAAGAAAAATGGATAAAGGGTCAAAAGAAGATTTTGGTTATGATCAAGCACAAGAAGGTAAGCATACACTCGTATTTATGAAAAAGAGCTTTCTTATTGATCTTGATTCGATCAGCTCCATCAACACATGAGGACGACGAATATGCCCGTGCTGGTGTGTACGATCCAAAGATTTTAATCACGACATCAAGAGATCCTAGCAGTCGTCTACAACAGTTTTCAAAAGAAATGCGTCTTATTTTCCCCAACTCTCAGCGTATTAATCGTGGTGGTCATGTGATGAAGGAAATTGTGGAGGCTTGTAGAGCAAATGAAGTAACAGATCTTATCATTCTGCACGAACATCGTGGTCAGCCAGGTAAAAAGAAAAGAAAGAAATAATTAGGTTTCGGATAAACTGAACAGATACTGGGTAGATGGTATGGTCGTTTGTCACTTTCCATATGGTCCAACAGCTTACTTTTCTCTACACAACGTTGTGCTTCGTCATGATATCAAAGATCAAGGAACGGTATCTGAAGCATATCCACACTTGATATTCAACAACTTTAACTCAAAATTGGGTGCAAGAGTAAGTGAGAGAAGATAGCAATAAGAAGGGAAATATTAACATGATCATAGATTACAAACATCTTGAAATATTTATTCCCCGTTCCAAAAGATGATTCAAAACGAGTGATGACTTTTGCAAATGATAATGATTATATTTCATTTAGACATCATGTGTTTGTGAAAACAGGAAATCAAGTAGAACTAGCAGAAGTTGGACCGCGATTCGAAATGAGACGTAAGTTGTTGATATTTGACTGGAGTAAATACTGATATTGATTGTATATGACAGCGTATGAAATCAGACTAGGTACAGTTGATCTGACAGATGCGGATGTTGAATGGCAATTGGCTGCTTATACCAGAACTGCAGCAAGAAGAGTGGCATTATAGACACAAATGATTTTTTTTTCTCATTGATTTTTGTAAAATAAATTTAATCACTGTAACATCAATCGGGGAGGAGATCATCATTTACCTTTTATGTCGAACAAAAAGACTTAAATATATAAAAGGAGAAGGGGAGAAGGCAGATTGTTTGATAAAATAAAATGCAGATAAAAGAACATGTCTTTATTGTCACTGGAGGGTAACTAAGTCTATTCGTATTAAGTGGTTTCATAACTCTATTATTCAGAGCAAGTGGTTTAGGCGAACAAGTAGTTCGAGCTATTATTGACGCAGGTGGATACGTCTCGGTATTATTAAGCTTATATTGTCCTTTTAATCTGTCTAATTCTTGTTGTAAAAGATATTTGATATAAAACAAAATGGATCTACCAGCCTAGTTGATGAATATACAAATCATGTTTGCTATTTTCCTGGACTAGTGGATGTTACATCTGAGGTAGGGGACAAATTAAAGAAGAAAAGTGTTTGATAACATCATGCCAAGTAGTCTCAAGTTAAAGAGGCCTTGATCAAAACAAGAAAACATTTTTCGAAAAACATTATTGCTGGCACTATCATCTGTAGTGGCATATTGAATGCACCACATGAAGGCTATGGCCCTAATAATATGTTGACGAGTTACAGTCAATTTGAACATATTATCAGGGTAAACTTACTTGGAACATATTGTGTTGCTCAAAAGGTGTCTGAGATTCTTTTACAAAATGAACCAATGGACAATGATGGTAGGCTTGCCTGGCATGTGTGTTTTTTATTTTACTAAACCCATTAAAATAAGGTGAGCGAGGTATTATCATTACTGTAACATCGATTGTTGGCTTAGATGGTATGATTGTAGGCTATGGTACATCAAAAGGTAATACAAGAATAAAAAGTATAGAATCAATTAAACAGGTGGGAAATATAGCTGCTATTGCTGGGCTGACTTTACCTCTTGCAAGGGAATTGGCTCCCTTTGGTATCCGTGTCATGTCTATTGCTCCTGGACCTTTTGGTAAAGTAAAAAAAAAAGTGTGTAAAAATAGAAAGTACTCATGTTTAACTAGATACACCCATGGTATCACATATTCCTGTTGACACCAATAAACTTATATTCCCTAAACGTGTAGGAAGACCAAGCGAATTTGCAGAATTGGTACTGGACGTGATCAAAAAGCCTATGCTTAACGGTTCTGTCATCCGATTGGATGGTGGCCTGAGAGCATCCAATTTCACATGAAGACTAAAAGGGTTAATGGCGGCATTTTAATTCAATTCAACTTAGTAATAAATCTACCTTTTCTCACCATTTGTTTTTCATACTTTCTTTTCCCTGTTCTTTAACGAAATGTCCTTTTTAGCAGGTGGAAGTGCTGACTGCGGCCCTGTCAACCCCATGTCAGGGTTATTAAAACAGTTTCAGCAAGATAGATCTCTTCAACAAGTAAAGCTCACACCTTCAATGTCTATTTATTATTCCTGACTCTTGCTTTATCTGTTTTGCAGGATAGATTTGCTCCTGAACAACGTGGTGAAAGTTCAAAGGTATATCAGGAATAGAATGCTTTTTTGTTATACTAATTTTACTCTGCAGGCAGGGTTTCGTACTCAAAGCTCGATGAACAGAGCAGTTCCAGATAATAGACAAGTACGATCATTATATTGAAAGAAATAGTAACATATCTAAAACCATCCTATAGTTTACTGAAGAGTTCTTTAAAGAAGAAATGGCAATGGGAAGAGCCACGAATGGTCCGTTTGAATTCAGTGGTTTAAGTCGAGAATTAGATCAAATTCAACCCAACCAACCACCTGCTGCTGAATGGGCTGCCGATTTTATGCAACATCAGCACGAGATCACGGGCCCTCAACAGTTTGAAGAATTTGAACAAATTTATCAACAAAATCAGCACCATCCTGTAGCGTCTCAGCCATTCCAAAGTAAGGGGGAAAAAGTAAAAATAAAGCAAATAAATGATTTAATCTTGCATAAAATAAAGGTGGGAATTGGACAAAAGAGTTTAGTGATTTCCAAGCAAGCCATCCCGGCGCCGTTTTGTCTCAAACAGAACGAGCTGCATTTGAAAAGGCATTTGATGAAGCTAGGCAAGGTGCACAACTAAACTGGGAACAAGAGTTTGCAACACAAGAGTCCTGGGCATCCGAATTTGCAAAGGAAGAACAGGAAGGCAAACCGATGGTAGCAACGAACGACAATGAAGCATTGGCAAGAACAGCCGCTATGTTACTGGATTCAGTAGATGTTGAATCCAACCCGAAATTTAAAAATTCACAGTTTATGAATCTGATGAGAAAGCTAAGAGATAGTGAAGTGCAGATTGAAGGAAATCAAATGGTGGAGACAAAAGGCAAGAATGCAGAGTCATCCTGGGCATCAGAATTTGAATCTTCGCAGCGACCAGGTCATTGGGCTGATGAATTCGCTCAACATGCTGGAAGTTCTCGTAGTGGTAATATGTGGTCATCTGAATTTGCTAAAAAAATGGAGCGTGGTTGGGCCGACGAGTTTCAGAGTCATCAGCAATCTTTACCAGGCAATTGGGCTTCCGAGTTTAGCAAGCAGGGTGAATTGACAACAGAACAGATGAACGAATTGTTTGGCAAAGGAACAGAGACAGAGGATTGGGTTGAACAATACCATAGAAATATTAGTCACTTGAAGCAGAGCCAGGACCATGAATGGGACGCAATGCAAAAGGATTGGGAAAGATTCAAGCCAGAGCAGGGTCTGGGCTACAGAGCTACTAATCCTCAGTACGACGTTTACAAATTCACTGTAAATAATCCATATTTATTAAACCCTGGATTAATTGACGGTAAAACCCACGATACCCTGGCTGATTCTATTCTTGCTTTGGAAGCCAAGGCACAACTACAAACCCAAGATTCGGATGCCTGGAAGATGCTAGGTATCAGACAGCAAGAGAACGAAAGAGATGCAGCTGCTATTGCGGCCCTGCGTCAAGCCGTCAAGTTGAATCCTTCTCTTATCGACGCTTGGTTGGCATTAGCTGTTAGTTATACCAATGAAAACTGTAGAGCAGACGCCTATGACGCACTAGAACAGTGGATGCTTAATCATGATCAATACCAACATCTTGCCAAAAGTCATGGAAAAGGAAAGATGACAGCAGAAGGTCGTCATGAATACATCACAAGCATGTTCTTGGAAGCAGCAAGAAGCTCGCCAGGTGCTGAAATGGACGCCGATGTTCAAGTGGGCCTCGGTGTCTTGTTTAATGTATCTGAGGAATACGAAAAGGCCATTGACTGTTTCAGAGCTGCACTCCATAGTCGACCACAGGATTATAAGCTTTGGAACAAACTGGGTGCTACCTTGGCCAATTCAAGAAATCCCACAGGTGCTATTGAGGCTTATTTCACTGCTCTTGAAATTAATCCCAATTATGTACGTGCAAGATATAACTTGGCTATTAGCTGCATGAACCTTGGGCAACATAGAGAAGCGGCAGAACACCTGTTGACAGCCTTAGCATTGCAGCAATCCAATGACAATGCTACAGGCGGCGGCGCTGTCATGATAGATGACCATGGTAATACTGTCAATGTTCCTGGTGGAATGAGTGAGAATGTATGGAGTAGCCTTCGTATGCTCATGTTGACGTAAGTAAAAGGTGACTCGTACAATCCTTTTTCTAAAACCTTGTCAATAGTATGAACAGAGACGATATGGTCAAGCACTGTGATAACCACAACCTCGATGCATTTCGCGCAGAATTCGACTTTTGAGCAAGATGACAGTAAATATTATTATTCCCCGTCAACTAGGCGTCCTGGTAAAAGATATTCTGGATTTATTTGGAAACCTCCAATGACTTATTGTACATTTCCTCCTCATGACTTGTTTATTTGATATATACACATATTGTTAATATAAGAATAAATCAGGATCGTCACTATTAAAGATTGTATATATCTTTTTGGACATGACTCTATTTACATTTCGATCCCTAGCTCGAATTGCACTTCTTTCAACCTATGTATACGTACACATCATTACTCATTAGAGTTCCTTTCCTTTCTCTCTTTATATATATCTTACTTCCAAGTCTGCAAGCATCATCTCTCCAGAAGGCTTATCAAGTTCTCTATAGCTTTGATGTAATGACTGTAAAGTTGGATATGTTTTCATAATACTTTTTGCTATAGCAGGTGTACACAGCTGAATTTCTTGTAGCATCTTAAAATATGTATCAGTTTCATTAGCACCGCTTTTGCCTCCCTTGTATGTGCTGTTGAGATTTTTGGTTCTACAGGTATATCATTAGTTAGACCTCTTTATATTAGCATTCTTCACATACTTGTATCTTCCAAGACCCAAATCTACCGTCAAATTCTCTATCCAAACTGCTGTATCCTCGCTATTCTTTGTAGGCACGACCATAATATTTTTTATAATTTGAAGTTCATTCAAATGTTGTTCGACTGTTTCCCGGCTTGGTAAAGATTCAAGATTTTCTTGTCCGCTTTTTCTCTTTCGAGAACTAGGGCTATCGTTACTTGGTCCTTCAAAGCTCTGCCTCACTTGATTTTGAAAATGTCGCCTTTGTATCAGCGCTCTTTTCTTATAGTAAGCTTCAAGTCCCTCGATCAAGAGCAGTATTTGTCGGTCTTTGGCAGTTGATTGAACCTGTTCCATGTGATCAAAGATCGTTTCAGACTGAATGTGTTCATTCAATTCATCGGCTGGCATATAGATTAATACATAAGGCTCTTGTATGATTTTCATGTCTTGGAGAGGTATAAACGTTTGCGATTCCGAGTGCCATTCTGCTTGACATTTTCTTTTCCACGAGATTGTGTACCTGAGCTCACTATGCTCCAACAGTGGTTGAATCTTTGCCATCTTTGGTATCAAACTGGCCTCTAGTAGCTTGCCAGCGTCTGTCAAAAGAAAGTCAGGATGAATATCCAGTATCATTTCTTTTAAGATCGCCGTTCGATCTGTTTTATTCCTGTTTTCCTTTTCGAATAACGCTTGTCGCTCTTTTTCTTTCTATAGATATACACAGGCACGTATCAGTGGCTATCAATAAGCACAAGCAAGGTGCCTTTCTTTTTACCTGTTTGAGCTCTTTTAATCTTTTCTTTTCTTCAGCAGCTTCTTGTCGCTTTCTCTTCCTTTCTTCCGCTTGCAACTTTTTCTTTTCCTTTTGGATTATATAAGCATTACCAAGAATGATATCAAGCATCTTTTTAAAAAGTTTACCTTTGCCGTAAGGGCACTCCTGTCTTGACTGGAAGGGAGTTCTTCCAGAGATAAAAGTGCATATCGACCATCATTTGACTCTATATGCTGATCATCGTATTGTCGCCTTTTCCCTTTCTTATCCGATTCATTCTCTTCAAAGCTATCAAGATCTATAATAACTTTATCCTTTTTCAATGAAAGTAGCTCGTCAAAGAATTCATCCTGTGTTGGTACATGTAAGATATCTTCTTCTTCTTCAATATCAAAAATAGATGTGCTGTTTGATCTTTTTGAGACATCTTCTCTTGATAATGTATTATATTTCTCTTCATTGACCGAGTCAGGTTCCTCATGCTCAGCAAAGGTAAAAGATTCCTCGTCATCAATCTCTTTTAAAAGCGACACATCTTCTTTGCTCTTATCCATGGGTGGACGCTCCGTAGTCTTTTTCACAAGTATGTCCTCTTCATCATCACTAAATGCTATCAACTCTGTAGATTTCTTTATCGATGTTGTTATAGTTGAATCAATCTCTTTGAGAAAAAACAGCTCTTCATCTTCAGATACGGGCTGAAGTTCTTCTTCTAGAAAGAAGTTATCCATTCTTCCTTTTTCTTTTCCCTTTTTCTTCCTGTCTGTTTCTCCTTTGTCTTCCTGACTATTAAACAAATCAAACGGTCCCTTGCTACTTTGTCCTGCTTTCTTCAAGAACGAACTAGTACTGTCAGACGTTCGTGCTGGCTTTTTCTTGGAACTGCTAGGAACGGGTATATCTTCAAAATCATCAAATGGGTCTATGAACTTCCGTTTGCTGGGCTTATTCAGTGGCTTCACAATAGAATCAGAAAAAACAGTATTGATGTCAAATACATCAGCATTGACGTCCTTGACACTTTTACCGAGAAAACAGCAAACTATGAGTGTATGCCCTTTATTGTTTATTTTAATCTTACGTAGCATTATTTCGCGATTCAGCCAAGTCCGTATCTTCTTCATCGGAATCAAGAATAATCAGGGTATCATTTGGTTTATCATCCTTTATGCCTTTGAGAAACTAGATTAAAAGGATTCGTTACTGGAATGTAAGAAAAGGTGTGTTTGTTTACTTCTCCGTCAAATATTCTATTTAATGTTGCTTCTACATTTTGTGTATATTCAAGATCTTTACGAATGTCAGCGGGATCCTTTGAATCGTCCACGACTAGAACCTGTTTGACAAGTTGATCAATGTCCATTAAACAGTAAAGTTTCGTTCAACAGACTTTTAATTCAGATAAATCATTTTTATTTTCAGACGGATAGAAAATATAGTAAGCTTAAAACTGGCCAACCTAACCTCAGTTGTACGGTAGAGGTCTTACAACGCCAGATCACCGAGTTCTAGTTCTAGTTAGAAATCTCCTGGTTGCGCTCAGAAATCGGCTCATTGCACAGACAAATATTAATATACGGCATATCACTAATAAGGAAAAACCTACACCATTAATAATCTATAGCCTTTAAACTACTCAAACTGCTTCATAATGATGTATATGAAGAAATCATTAAGCTGTTGTTTCCTTGGATTACCAGAGACAAAGAAAAGTACACTGAAATGAGTATGATAACAGCCATATTACTAAGATTAAAGAACAAAAAACTAAGTTTGGGAGTAACAAAATGAAGTTTTTATTTAAGTAAGCAATAGCTTGATTTCCAAAGAGAGAGAGAGATAGAGAGAGAGAGAGAGAGAGAGAGAGAGAGCTTTGAATAAGTAGAGATTCTTATTTTGATAGTGTACAAATTTATAAAGTATAATTATAATTACACTTGAAGTGATCTTGGTTGTTTCCGCCCTCCTCTCCCTCTGTTTTCTTCTCGGCTTGTCTCTTTGTTTGTTACATTCTCACTCAAGAAGATAAAGATCCAAAAATGACGCTTATTATATCACTGTATTTTATTTTACGCTGTACAATTTGAACTAACAAAGAAAAGAATGACTACGACAACCAAGGTCGCTTCAAGTGTAATGATTTATATTCATTAGGAAATTGAAGCTGTCACTTCACCATGGCATACATGTCCCTATTTTCCTTTTACAATAAATAGAACGTAAAGCTTGATCCAATTGCTTGAAGCAATAGCGTGTTTTTCAAGTTGTAAATATCTATGGCATTTTTGCCAAAGATTGCAAGGCGAACTAGGTCTTGCATGCAGGCCTCATGGTTCTTGCTTTCTAGCTCAGCCTTGGCTTCCATGTAGCCAATTGTGATAAAATTATCACGTTCAGTTTTTTGACGGAATTGACCATCTGGTCTTCGATGAGAAACACCAAAGACCTTCTGTTTACATTCGGCGTTGTTTTCATTTGTGATCTTAAAAAATACCATGTTTTCATGATCCAAATTATCAAATAATGACTGCAATATTGGTAAAATGAATATACTTTTTATCATCCTCCTTAATAATTTCACCCAAGTCATTAAGAGGAAAAGATTCCAACATGTCCTTTATGAACTTCACAGTCACCTTTTGAGTACCTTGAAGCTTCGTACCAATATTTATCAATTGCAAACGTCCTTCTTCTCTTGTAGCCGACTTTTTAATCATTTGTTGTACTGTTGGAAGTGCCGGTATCATTCTTTCAAATGGAAATACAGTACCGTTGATGGTGAGGTTGTGGACTTTAATATGTGTAATTATCTTTTGCAAATTACTGTGACCAAATGCATGAAGAAGATTGCTATTGGTACTGTTATTTTTCAAGGAGTAAAATTGAAGAAAAGCATAACATTTCATGGTAGCTTGATTTAAACGAGAATGATGTTTGTGATATTGTCGATGAATAAATAGTTTTACCTTGAAAATATAAGAATACCGCAAGATGGAATGAGGCTTTCTGTAGTCATTTATGAACAAAGAAAAGAAAGAGGTCTGTGGCAAGAAAGAATTGATCTTTGTATGCAAGAATAAATGTTGTAGGATATTTTGGCGGGGAGTTTCAATAAAAATTTGTGTCGAAATCTGCATAAAGTTGTTGTAACCTGAAGACATCTACACACACAAAAACAAGGCCCAGCATATCCTCTATTCCTTTATAGCTGTTATTACTTCATACCCATTATGTAGAATAACTACAAAGGCATTCATATAAGCTATATGAATTATATGTTTATCTCCTTCTTCCTATTTTGGAATTATTTTTATGGAACTTTCAGACTTTCCTCTTGGCTTTGATATGTAAACAAACAAAAATCTGATTAAGGACATGATGTGATGTATGCTTAGGTTGAGCGCCAAAGGGGATTGATCCAGGCCTTCCTTTTTTGTAATGGATTATGTTTCAGGATGGACTATCAATAAAACACGAAAGAGAGTAAATAGTTTAATAAACACGCCATAGTTTGAATTCAGGGCACAACCAAGGCAATAAATGAAGCAATGTAAATCATAAGAATGAAGACAAGAGATACCTTTTAGGTCAAAATTGTTTCTCTCTCTCTTTCTCTCTCAAAAAAAAGGAGGGTTAGACAACCTTCAAAGGAGAGCAGATGTTTGTATGTGAATTTCTTAAAAAATATGCCTAGTCCATTTTGGGTTAAAGATAGGGAGAGAAAGAGATAAAGGAACTTTGATTGCTTCTTTGTTTGGCATGAGCAAAAATATATTCCCATGGGGAAGCTTTAAAAGGTATAAAAGGACGCAACTTTCCCTTCTTTATTCAAATTATTCTTTCTTTTATCTTCAAATATATCAAGCAAGCTTTCTATATGGTTCTCTCTCAATAACTCTCAGGGAAGTGCTCGGAATAATCTATGGTCTTTTTATCTTCCTTCCTAACACAGGTATGGCAGGGTCGGGGGCTTTTGTAGGTTCTCATCTTGGTTCTACTCATGGTTCTAGTCTTGGCTCTGCCTATGGTCTTTTGGACTTATTTGCATTCTTCAAATTTCTATGGTTGATGTTACTCACTAGGTAAGCTTTTGGGATGTGCTTGGCCACCCAAGAGACACACTTTAAGGGCAACACAGAGAGACTTGTAATATGGTTAAGGTCACCTTATTCCTGTTCCTCTCTTGCTGACTTTATTGTACCTTCAGAAGTTGTCATGTACTGAACACTAGTAGTCTCTCCTCTTCCTTTTTTTTTTTTTTTTTAAAAAAAAATAAAATAATCTACTTGAACATCCTTGAACATAATTTTTAAAATTTTAAATCATTGATACACTTGTTTTATTGGTCAGTAAAGGTTGGCACTGTTGTTATATCCTTATTCTTTTTCCTTCTGCTTGTGAAATGTAGACTAACATTAGCGACGATTATAACTGTGATGGATTTAATGATTGTACGTTCATTTTTATAGTAAAGCAATGGATCTTCTAAATCTGCATAAACTATTTCAAATGGCGCTCGAAACAGGATGCGTTGCTAAGGTACGCGATATACTTTATATTATCATTGATACTCGCATGACTTGAATGAGAGATATAATCAAGGATTTATAACAGTGAAAAATGTTATGAATGCATGGATATCAAAAGGATAAGTAGTCTTATATGGAAATAAAATAAAAAAGGTTCATTACACCTTAGAGAGCACCGTGTTGCTTATCACTATCCAAAGCCATTAATCACTATGGCGCTTATTTTTTCTTCATTATTGCAAAGCAGAACCGAGTCAGTCTATTGACTTTATTTGAAAACAGACCCAGGCTAATGAAAAGCTCAAATTGAATATAGTAGAAACTTACTATAGTTAAAAAAGGAAGTTCATTCAAAATTATGTGTATCAAAATATGACAGGGCAGTCTATAAATTTGCCTGTATGGCTGATCAGTTTTGTGATAGAACGCACAAGGCTTTTAGCTTTAATAAGCTCAAAGGCGCTGAATCAACCCACCGAACTGTAAGCTTGAGGCCGTTCACAGGTAATCCTTTCTTATTAAGTGTGCTTTAAGGAACAGGCTACAGTAAATATATCAATGATACAGAGCATTCTGGAGAAAAGTTTTCGCAGAGAAATGTCCCAGTGTATTTCACTTTTAAGAGCTGTCAGAGAGCATATCTCAGATCATCAATATCTGCTTGAAGTTTCCTTAAAGCTGTCAGTAATCGGCATCTAACTGCGTGCTGTGTGTGTTATAAACACGTTGAGCCTAATGTGGAGGAAATTATCCAATGAAACGACTACCTTAATATATGAATTAACGCAACACCGTCTCCCCTTCACTTTTCAATTAAACACCAACAAGTGAAAGTATTCATAGTTTACAGCAGCAATTAATAGTGAATGAATTTTAATTCATATACGAACAGATTTGAATTTGGAAGATTTCTTTAAAGCTCTCTACTCAAACAAGAATGCAAGCGAGTTTCCTATAAGTCACTCAAATTTTTTGAACAATCTTCTTTCTTTTCTCTTCAGCAATAGCTTGTTTAAAGATGATTTATAGAACCAATATAATGCTTGCGATTATTTTACTCTTCTGTTTACTCGTTAATAGCTATAAAAGCAAGTGCTTGATTTGCGACATAGTCATACGGAACTTGTATTAATAAAAATGTACAGCTGTCTATTGTAATGATAATGGATGCGCACCTCAAGAGCTTTTCTCTAGCCTTGCTAGCTTACTGTCTACTGCCAGCCCCTCATCTGGTACGGTGTCTTTTATCCATACAAGGTCCATAAAACACTATGTAGACACAGTGAGAAGACTTTTGAAGCCTACCCACAAATAAGTAGATCATATAACAACTCGTATAAAATTTCCATTATTTCCTATAGATCATAATTATTTTCCAAAGCTATAAATTAGAGTTATTATTTAGACCTTCTGTCATTTTGTAACATGTTCAAATCTATAGGTAATTTTTCGCGTTTTTCCAAACTCAAGTGATAGAAGCCATATTAAATCAAGATGGTATGCCTTGTAAATGTTCTATTGACTTATGGTTGCTGATGCGTAGGGGCTTTACTTTTCTACACTTTTGTATTAATTTCATTTAATGTCAAAGTGTTGCCCTTTCAGTAATATAAATGAGGCTTCTAGGCCATTTATATAAGCGAGTCTCTAAACTGGTGTATGTTATGTATACGACGTATCTGGTGTGTAAATACCAAATCATGTTTATTACCTTTTTGCTGGCAGGCATGGATAACTACCTCATCATATATTCGAAGTTTCTTCATAGTTTTGTCGATAATTCGTGCCGCCGAGGGCATCTTCAACTTCAAAGCGGATCTAATAACGGGTAAGGTTCACTGCGTTCTGAGGTACACCCTTCAGATGTAAAATCGTTGTTATATTCATCTTGATATTAATTGAAATAATGCAGTGAAGTCGATAACTTGCGGATTAGATTCTTTATTAAGAAGAGATGAAATATTGTTAAATCAGGCTTAAGTGAGTGTTTTATAGGGAGTATTAATGTTATCAATGCGTATTAATGCTGTCAATGCGATTGTTTATGCTTATATTATTATTGTCAGTATGCTTATTCTTATTCTCATCAGATGCGATAGAGGAATGTAAAGCAGAGCGTATGCTTCACTGTAATATTATAAAGTACTATAATGGCTTCACCAAACATGACGTATTTGACCACGTCTAATACTAATCTTTACGTGTGAGGTTACATTTGACTTAATTACATGTGCCTTAATTAATACTTCAGCCCCTTTTAGTACAACTTAACAACTTAATTTCTTTTTGCTATGAGCTCCACCTCTCACTTTTAATAAAAAGATAAACAGAGACTCATCACTTCTTTGCTTTTATTCTTATACATCACACGAGCACTAACAACAAATATAAAGCTACAAACAATACCTCAAAACATGTCAATTTCATCAAGAATACCTATTTCTTTAACTTTGGTGAATTAAAACCTCCATCCATCAAATATTACAATATTTTTACTATCCCCAAACATTTATTTAGTTATTTGGGGCACTCTTTTCAAACCCCAAAATACAAATCAACTACAATATTCAACCCCAACGAGAAATTTAGGTATAGAAAAAATGAAAAATGAAAAAATTGTTTGGGCCAGATGAATGATGTCGACCAAAAAATACTGTTCAAATTTGTCACAACAAACTCTGATATGTCAACATGCTAGTTTTGGTCTGAACGGTGAAGTAGGCAGTGTCGTAGGACAATGTCTGCTTATGACTGACATTGAAATAAACGACTGTAATCAGTATGAATGGAGTGAATTCATACATTATAAAATTACGTGTACACACTTTCAATGATAATTTAAATAGAATCTCTCCTTTGAATATAAATAATTACTTCTTTATATAATAGTATACACTTCTTTAAAAGATAATCCTTCTTATGGTAAAAGCAGTATCATAACCCAGATCATGAAATGAAAGTTTTCTTTATGAATTCAGGAACCATTAATCAATCATATCCTCAGTAGTTATAATCCACGCTTAGAATAATGGCTTACCAGTACATTTGATAGCAACTATAAATAGTAGAGCCTTAGTTTATTTGTATGTTCCTTCTGTCTTTATCTCAGAATAAAGATTAGTCTCAAAGAGTACTTCTTATGTCTTTGTCTTGTGTTATTTAAACCATTACATAACAGCACTCATTACATATCGAGCCATCTCTTTAGGATGTTCATCACGAACCTTTGCTCTCGCTATAAGGAGTTTTTTCACTCTCTGGTAGCTCTTTGAACAAGGTGGGCAATTTTTTCTTTACTGAGGTGTATTTGCTTACAATAAAATCCTTTTAAGCTATTTTGTGTATGTAAAAATCATTTATTATATTTATTGCATGCTCTTTGCATTCTCATCTTGATAATCCCAATGAAGTTGTCCAACATCATGGTTACCATGATATTCCCAACCATTCTCAGTAACATGATATACTATTATTAGGTTAGTAACAAATCAATTACAGACAGCAATTACTTACAGTTCACTGAACCACCAGACATGGCATCACGGTGTGTTGCATGATAAATAGATCTTCTACCGAGTTCAAGAGCGTCTTTTACAGATAAGTCAAAGTCATAACCTGAATCGAGTACACCGTAGGCAAATGTAGAACCTGAACCAACAGAGAAAATATCGCCTTTTAATCTTGAGCCATCTGAATCAACATAAAACAAGTTGGGTCCCTACAAAGAAAAAAAATAAGCCTTAGATATATCAAATGCATGAGTAGCTTACGGTTTTATCCCAACCAGTAACCATAGTACCCTATATATAAAATAAAATCAATAAACAGAGCACAAAGAAAAACAAAACTTACCATGGAAAGGCCCATTCCCTTATAAGAATAGACCATGTTTGCCAACAACTTGGATGCAGCCGCAACCGAAATACGTTCCTTATTTCTTAATTCATGTAAACGACAACGTCTGCCCAACTCGCGCTCCCAGTATTGACAGTCAGCTGCACCACCTGCCAATGTTCCTAATAGATATGGGTTGATCTCAATCACCTTTTTCACAGTTTGGGAAGCTAGTAATGAATGTTAGTTCTTGTATATATTGATTGAGTACTTGTTATTTTACCGATATAATTTCCCATCGTAGCTCTTGAATCAACAGCGACTACCACACCACCTTGGAATTGGAATGCAAGTGTAGTTGTACCATGTTGAATTTTAATCTTGTACTCTGGAGATTCTTCATCAGTCACATTTCTCAAAAAGTCAACAGGCTAAATGTTATTGTTAGTTTCCTCTTTTTGACTGTGTAGACATCCATTTACATTATGAACAGCTGGGACATCAAAAGTAGGGAAAGCTAATTCTTGAGCAGCATCCCATTTTCCGCATAATTGACCAAGGCTCTCTTCTTGTGGTAAGCTTAATGGTGATGAACTATATCTTGATACAAACTTATGCATGTTTTTTCTAAAGAAATAAAAAAAAAAAAGATAGTAAGTAAAAGATGACGAGTTACTGAACACGCGTCAACTAAAAACTGAGCTTTAATTGTGACCATTGCGTCACTTAATGGCCTATGTTTGCCACGCGTTCAAGCGATATTTTCTTTTTTCTTCAGATATAAAATACAATGGACTATATGCTTTCGAATTCAATGGAAAATGCTGCTACCTCTGTTCCTGTGCAGCATAGATTTGAACCCTATGATGATAATGGAGGGTATGAAAAAAAAAGAAAGAAATTGATGTATTAAAGTAGCTAACCCTATTTGTTATAAAGAACAAGTGTAGCCATTGCAGGAAAGGATTATTGTGTGGTTGCTGCAGACACTAGACAAAGTACTGGCTACAACATCAACTCTCGATTTGCACCTAAAGCTTATAAACTATCAGAAACTTCAGTTATTGCCATGAATGGTTTTCATGCTGACGGATTGACCTTGAAGAAAGTGCTTGATCAGAGGCTCAAGGTACACACACATATATTTATATATATCATACTGTTCTTGTATATTTAATATAATATATTTATTAGTGGTATAAATTCTCTCATGATAAAGATATGTCATGTACTGCCTTGGCTCAAATGCTATCAATCACATTGTACCAAAGAAGATTCTTCCCTTATTACAGTTTTTGTGTTTTGGGTGGTGTCGATGACGAAGGAAAAGGCGCAGTATATTGTTATGATGCTATTGGATCTTACGAACGAGAGAAATGTCGTGCAAGTGGTTCAGCAGCAGCATTGATTCAACCTTTCTTGGATAACCAGGTAAAGCTAATTTATATTGGTATGTAGCTCATAAGACTAACAAAAGACGCGCTATGTATAGGTCTCGAAGAAGAATATGCAGAATGTACAATACCAAGATGTGGAATTGGAAGAGGCAATTAAGATTGTAAAGGACGCATTTACATCTGCTACTGAACGAGATATTTACACTGGTGATAACCTTCAAATCTTTATTATTCGTAAGGATCATCCTGTCGAAGTTCAAACTTATCCTTTAAAGAAAGATTAAGACAATAAAAGAGAGAGGGGTATTTGATTGTATATGTGTTTACTGTTGTAAGAGCAATGTTGATACTTTATTTCGAGGCACCCAACAGACTAAAGGTGTACTTCCTCCAATATAATGAGCTTGTTTATGGTAGAATAATAACCCATCAATATCATAAGTATGTCCTTGATTCTGACTCAGGTAGCCTTCGGGACTGTTTGCTATGGATGTCAATTCTGTAGTTGGTATTCCTTGAAGAGGAACAAACTTGTAAAATCTGTTTTCACCATTTGGTGCATCGAACTCATTGGATGCAAACTTTGTATGCAACCAGAAATGCCTAAAGCTTGTATCACAATCAGCTACTGAATATCCTTTCCAGCACATTATATCCAGTACGTAAAATGTCCAATGTACAGCATCATAAACACAGTCTAATATACAATACTCTGATCCATGATAGTGTCTAGAGAAATATATGTATACACATATCAGTTACATTTTGTTTAGTATTACTACTACTATTATTATTATTATTACCTGGAACCATTTGGTAAGACGGACTGAAATCGGCCAAGTATTTTTCCACCTCTTGATCTAGAGATAGTTTGACCATTACCAGACATAACAAAACATCTTTTTCCTTTTGGACAAATGATCGTAATCCATTCTTGTGCGAAATCACTTGGTATAGATTCAAGGTATTCAGCATACATGATTTGATTTCTATATGCATAAATTGGTTTCTTTTTCTTTCTTTCTTTCTTTCTTTCTTACGCATAAATATTGGCTTTCTTTTTATTCTTTTTTGGTTTTTGTGGGTTATTTTTGACCAGCTTGCATACTTCTTCCATATCTTCGTCACTATCATCACGTCCTCTTTTCAATGAACTATTAGACCCTTCTTCTTCGTCATCGTCGTCGTCATCGTCGTCGTTGTCGCTCTTTGCAAGTAGATCCAGATTTCTTAAGCTTGCGACAATATCATTGCGTTGCTTTATATATATAGTTATTTATTGAATATAAAACAAAGAAATGACCTACTCTCTTTTGAAGTTCCAAAGCTTGTAATCTTCTCTTTTCTTGTATTTCAGAACGAATAGCAAAAGGTGATTTCATTTTTTGATAAGCAGAGAATCTACTCTTGTTGTCACATTCTTCATTTACAGAATCACTGTTTGATTCAGTACATGTTGTATTTTCTTTAGGATCTTTAAAGACGAATTCCTTAGAGTTGGACATGAGCAAACAAAAGAAAAGAAAAAGGTACAAAAGACAAATATACACGACGCGTAAAAGTATGAACATATTTATCTGCTTTAAAGTACCGAATTGATGCTGCGTATACATACACGCAAGAAAAGGACGTCATCCTTGATTTTAAAGAGAAATAAAGAGAAGAAAACTCCCACACGTCTCTTTCTCTTGCTCTTTCTCTCTCTTTATCTCTTGAGTTATACAGCGTAATAAGTCCACTAACGGTTCACTGAGTTTGAATTATTTCTCAACTCACTTTAGTGCTTTTTTTTCTTTTTTTTTTTTTTTTTTT